CCGATCTCGGGGGTCTGACGGGTGTCCCCCAGAACTCTCCGGGCTCGGAGGAGGAGCTGGCCAAGGCGCTGGAGGGGCTGGGGCTGGAGGAGGGGGCCGGGGACGGCGTCCTGCCCGTCATGCGCAGCCTGATGCAGTCCCTGCTGTCCAAGGACGTGCTCTACCCCTCCCTCAAGGAGATCACCGAGAAGGTGGGGGGGCCCAAAAAGGGGGAGGGGGGTCCCTGAGGGCCTGGGGTGGTCCTTTGGGGTGTGGGAAGCACGGGGAGGTCGTGGGGGGCTGTTGGGGTGGGAGTGGGAACGGGCACAGCACGGTGGGATTGGGGAGGGGTTTGGAGGGGAGGAGGTGACCCCCCCAAAGGGGTTCTTGGGGGGTCCCTGGTGCCCCCAGGGTCTACCCCTGGCACCCCCAGGGCGTTACTGTCGCTTCAGGGGGGGCTTAGGGGTCCCTCCTGTCCCTGGGCTGTGGCCCTGGGGGGTTCCCTGGAGCCTTGGGGTCCCACGGGGGGGTCCCTCGGGGTCCCAATTACCCCCCCTGACCCCAGTACCCTCCCAGTACCCCGAGTGGCTGCGGCAGCACGGGGGGTCCTATGGGGGTCCCTCGGGGTCCCAATTGCCCCCCCTGTCCCCAGTACCCCGAGTGGCTGCGGCAGCACGGGGGGTCCCTGCCGGAGGAGCAGCTGCGCCGGTTCCAGGCGCAGCATTCCCTGATGTCCCGGCTGTGTGCGGAGCTGGAGCGGGAGCAGCCGGGGGAGCCCGAGGGGCAGCGCCGGCAGCGCTTCGAGACCCTCCTGGACCTGATGCAGCAGGTGAGGGGGGGCTGGGGGGGACCCCCGAACCCCCCCCTGCCTGCCCGGACTGACCTGATCCCCCCCCACAGCTGCAGGACCTGGGACACCCCCCCAAGGAGCTGGCGGGGGACACGGTGAGTCTGGGGGGGTGGGACCCCCTGGGGCCCCTGCAGGGACACGGGGGGTGAGGGGAGACCCTACAATGACATGGGAGGGAGGTAGAGAGTGACCCTACAATAACATGGGGAGTTGGGGCTGACCCTACAATAACATGGGGTGACACAAGGAGACCCTACAACAACACAGGGACCCCCCCCCCGCACACCTGGGGACCCCCAGCCCCCCGGGGTGACCCCCCCCTTCCCCCTCAGCCCCCCGGATTCAACCTGGACCTGCCGGGGGGGGCGAGTGGGGAGCAGTGCCGGGTCATGTAGGGGGTCCTGACCCCCAGAGACACCCCCAGGGCCCCCCCGGGGCCCCCCCGCCTCGTCCCCCGCCGATGACGTCGCTGAGGAGGAGGAGGAGGACGAAGAGGCGCCACTGGAGCTGCTGCTGTGCCCCCCACCCCCCGATTTGGGGGGGGTTGTGGGGGGTTTTTTGGGGAGAGTGATGCAGGGACCCCCCCATTTTGGGGTGTATCCCCCCATTCCCCCCACGGTGTCCCCAATAAAGGTGTTGGTGACTCGAGTGGCTCAGAGGGCCTAAAAATGGGAGTGGGGCTGGGGGGACCTTACAATGACACAGGGGGGGACAAGGAGAACCTACAATAACACTGGGGGCACAGGAAGTGACCCTACAGTAATGTGGGGCAGAGGGGAACAAGAAGACCCTACAAGAACATTGGTGGAGATAAAGTGACCCTACAACAACATGGGATAATCCGAGGAGACCCTACAATAACAGGTGTGGACACACAGTGACCTCACAATAATACAAGGGAACACAAGGAGACCCTGCAATAACATTGGGGGTTACAGGGTGACCCTACAATAACACTGAATGACCCAGGATGACCCTACAATAACACTGGCCGACACAGGGTGACCCTACAATAACATTGGGTGACACGAAGTGACCCTACAATAGAATTGGCTGATACAGGCTGACCCTACAACACCACAGGGAGCAGGCGTGACCCTAAGACAACACGGCGACACCAAGCGACCCTACAATAACATCGGCGTTCCCATAAACAAGCGGGGGGGTGAAGAAGCGCCGTTCCCATGACAACGCCGGAGCGCTGCCGTAAAGCGCGGCGGCAGTCCGGGGCCCGCGGTGTCGCGCGGGCGTCGCGCGGTGCCGTCGGGCGGCCCGGCGGGGGGCGGGGCTGTGGCGATGGCGGCGCAGGCCCGGCCTGGGCCCGGAGCGGGAGCGGCCGGGGGGGCCCCGAACTGAGCCCACCCACCCCCCCGGGGCACCGCGGGACCCCCCGGCACACCCCGCCGAGCGCTCGGGTCGGTGCGCGGCCTCCGCAACCCCCGCCCCGCCGGGCCCCGCAGGGCCTGGGCCTTCCGTGGAGGGGGG